GCACCAGCATGCACACAGCTCAGGTCAAGGATACAACCTGCCCAGCGGGGGTCCTGCGATGGTCTTGACTGACATTAGGAATCACCTGGGTGTGACCTGTACCTTGATACCCCCAGCCTCGCCATAAGGGGTGGGGCTCACGTGGCTGGGCTGGGGCCCTGACGTGGACAGGTTTTTCTCGTTTCTTGAGTGGCTGAGTGTGCGGGCAGGATGGAGAATCACTGAATCTGGGCAAAGGGTACAGCGGCCAGATCACTTCCTGGTGCCTTCCTCACCCCTCCCCAAGGCGTGGGGCGTGTGAACAGCTGACAGAGGGCGGAGGTCGGGTCAGGTGACAGCAGCTCTGAATCCCCTGTTCCTGCATGCTGAGATGAGCTCAGAGTGTGAACTCATTCTGTGAGCCCATAAACCAGCACATCGACCCAGGCAGTAAGTGAACCTAAAGCCAGTGTCAGGTTAAGACTTCCTGATTATGCTTCTAGCCAAAAGTTCAACTCCAACCTTTTCTTATTTTTGCAACTGAAAGCAGCTTTCCAAGCAGCAGCTTTGACTGTGATCTGCCACCTACCATGTCAGCAAAAGGCATTCCTCTGGCTGGAGGAGAGTGAGTATTCCTGCAGATGGAACACCATGGCATTGAAGAACAGTAGCTTGTAAGCTACTCTCTGAGAAGGGGCCTACAGATAAGTTGCGGAAACAGCAAGGGCTTTGGAGGTAGTTGATGTAGAATTGGTGTCCCTTCTTTCCACCTATCAGCCCCTGGTGTGTGACCCAGGGGCAGGTGCTGTACTATGCTGAGCCTCAGCTTCATCCTTGGTAAGAAGTTACATAACAATACTTACCACCCAGGGTTCTTGCTGGTTTATCAGTGACTAGTCCAGGCCTAGCCTTGGTGTAGGTGGCAGCAGAGAAAAGACAAATGATAACTATTGAAGAAAAATCAAAATGGGATACTATTTCAGTCCTCCTGTTGTACAAGAGTGTTCCCATCACATCCAAAAGAAGGTTATTCTCTCCTCAAGTCACAGAAACAATTATGTTAATGGACAGTATTGGTTTTCTGGTACTGTTGTAACAATTACCACAAACTTAATGGCTTGTGTTTATGTGTGCTAAGTCGCTTCCGTTGTGTCTGACTCTTTGAAACCCTATGGACTGTAGTCCACCAGGCTCCTCTGTCCATGGGATTTTCCAGGCAAGAATACTGGAGTGGGTTGCCATTTCCTTCTCCAGGGGATCTTCCCGACCCAAGGATTGAACCCACGTCTCTTACGTCTCCTGCACAGGCAGGCAGGTTCTTTAGCACTAGCACCACCTGGGAAGCCCAACGGCTTAAAACCATGCAAATGTTTTATCTGACAGTTCTGGAAGTCAGAAGTCTGCAGTGGGGCTTGCTGGGCTAAAATCACGATGTCGGCAGGACTATGTTCCTTCTGGAGGTTTTGGGGGCGGTTCCGTCCCCCTGACTTTTCCATCTTCTAGAGGCTTCCAGCATTCTCTGGTTCTGGGGCTCTTCCTCCATCTTCAAAGCCAGCACTTTTCTATCTTCAAATCTCTCTCTGACTCTGATTCTGTCACTTTTGCGACCATCACTGCCATTCTATTGGGCTCATCCAGATGATCCAGAACAATCTCCCCATCTCAAGATCCTTGGCTTAACCACATCTGTAAAGTCCCATTTGCTCTGTACAGTAACACATTCACAGGTTCTAGGGATTAGGAAGTGGGCACTTTTGAAGGCAATTATTCTGCCTACTATACAGAAAGTGAAAAAGTGTTTGTCACTTAGTCATGTCTGACTCTTTGTGACCCCATGGACTGTAGCCCACCAGGCTCCTCTGTCCATGGAATTCTCCAGGCAAGAATACTGGAGTGGGTGAGCCATTCCCTTCGCCAGAGGATCTTTCTGACCCAGGGATGGAACTCAAGTCTCCTGCATCGCAGGCAGATTCTTTACCGTCTGAGGCACCAGGGAAGCTCATTATATAGGAAGAGCTTTGTCAGTTGTTAATTTTTTATGTTCTTCAGGTTTCTCGCCAATCTTTGATACATGCTCCCAGTTACCTGGTAGCAAATGCTGGCAGAAGGTTAAAAAAATTGCTGAGGGCTTCCCTGGTGGCTCAGTGGTAAAGAATCTATCTGCCTGCCAATGTGGGAGACACAGGTTCGATCCCTGACCCGGGAAGATTGCCCATGCAGCGAAACAACTGAGGCCACGCGCCACTGAGCCTGTGCTCGAGAGCTGCAACCACTGAAACCCTTGCATCCTGGAGCCAATGACTAAAGTCCTCGCGCCCTGGAGCCCGCGCTCACAAGAAAAGCCACCACAGTAAGAAGCCCTAGCACCGAAACTAGAGAGTAGCCGCCAGCTTGGCGCAACTAGAGAAAGCCCGCAATGCAAGAAGACCCTGCACAGCCAAAAACAAGTAAACAAATAAATACATTTCTTTAAATTGCTGAAAAAATTAAATTAGCATCACCAGAATATTCAGAAACTGCTAATGAGAGACTTCAATGGTTTCTTTTGTGTACATGTGTGTGAACCTGTAACTCGTGGTTGTGATTTCAATGTATAGTACACAGCATAGTTTTCGCTTGTAAAATTACTCCTAGAACACTTGAGGGGACTGATCGGCGACACGGTGTCCTGCAGAGACGACTCTGACTCAGCAGGCACTGTAACCTCTGACAAGTCTGAGGGTGGCCCCAGGGCCTGCCAAGCTTATGACTTAACAAGACCACTCCTCTCCTGAGCGGGGGACCATTGGCAAGCTCGGCCAGGAAGGCAAGACCAGAACTGAATATGCAGCGGAGCTCTTCTGTTCTTCAAGTGAGTTGAGAACTCAAATCTGGAGTTTGGATAGGAAACTGGGACTCAGTGGGAGGTCTGTGAGGGTGGAGGATGGGGTGCTTCCAGGCTTTCAAAACACAAAACAGGTGGTTTTCGGTGGTGCTGGCTGGCTGGGGGAGAGGGGGGAAGGGTGAGTACAAAGTAGGCAGGCTTCTGGAAGGGTGGAGCCCCAGGCTGGAGCCTGGCCCGGCTGCCTGAGAGCTGAGAGTGACAGGTGAGGGCTCTGAACCTCCGTGCTGGGGGGGTCTCCGGGAAATCCCAGGACTGTCAAGAAGTTCGGGGGAGAACCTTGACCCCAGCCTGGGAAATGCTTTTCTTCAAGCTCTGAGGCTATCGGGTGGGGAGTGCATAAAAGTGGGAACCCAACCAAACCAGAGCTCACCCCCCGCCCCGCCCAAAATGGAGGACCGAGGAGCAGAGCGGTGGGAACTGGCGCTCCTAACGAAGCAGCGGTGATGTGGGCCACAAGGAGGCGGGAGGCGTGGGCCACAGCCAGAGGCAGGCTCAGCCAAGTCTGACAGGCTTTAATTATTTTAGGGTCAGAAATCTGGGCTGGGTAAACACGCCAGATGTTTATGCTTTTGTATATTTTGATTTCTTGTTTGTTTTACTTGTTGTTGATGATGATGTTGTTGTTTTAGTAAAACTCTAAATAAGAAAAGGGTAATGGGGTCCTTGCTTGTGTCTGGGAAGGCCCAGGGGAAGAATCAAGGAAAATCCTTGTGTAGCTGAGGCCCCCGGTGAGGTGAAGCCCAGAAACGTGACAAATCTCAACCCCAGAAGTGGCTGCTCTTGAATCTCCTGGGGAGTCTTTAATTACCTCTTCCACACGTGGCTTGTGAGGGAAATGGTGATTTTCGTGACACAGTGGGCATAGGGACAGCAAGAGCAGGCACCAAAGTGGACAGCTAGCCATGTCCCATCCCACTGACACAGAAGATTGGAAAACAGTGTTTTTTTTTAAGTAGCTTGGCCAAAAGCTCAAAATGCCTCCTGGCTCACCAAAGGGCCGAGGCTACCCATTTCCCCTACCCTCTCTAGCTCTTATACCAACAACAGAATGAATAGAAATCTACATTCTTCCCAACAGACCTGCCTGATATCAATTAACACTCACCTCTGGAAAGTGGCAATCCTCAAGGAAACTCTAAGATGTTTTCAACGCGAAGATTGGGATGTGTTCTTTGAATGACTGTTCTCATGGCCATTTTCCCTGCAAGGCAACCAGGCTCAAGATGGTAAATGGCGACACTGGTTAAGCGATCCTGCGGGCAAGAGGTAAATATGTGCACAGAATGTGGTCCAAGGGCCCCCATTCCCTTCCTACTCCATCAGACCATCAAAGCCTCTCAGTCAGGCCCGTAGCAAATGGGTGTCCTAGGACTGGCCACTGAACACACTAGTCCCAGAACACACATTCCAACCTCTTGTCCAGAGAATACCCCCACTGACCACATTAGAGGCAAGCGGGGACAGCAGTGGGGAGAAGGGGTGGGTAATTTATTCAGGAGCTGAAAGCTGAGAAACAGATTTGGTAAGCAAATACTTCAAAGCCCACTAGAGAACTCCCATAAAACACAGGCCCTCTGAAGCAACCCAGGAGTGATTTAAATCCACTTGGAATTTCAAGGGAGAAGGAGTAAGACTTATCAACTCTGCTCAGAGCCTCATGAATAATTTCACCTGGCACAGGACACTGAACCCGCAGAAATCTAGGATGTACAAAGGAAAACAGGCTTCCCACTAACCTTTGTTACTCAAGTTTTATTCCTAAGTAGGTAACCAGGGTGAGTGAAGCCCAGACAGGAAGCTCACCGTGTTCAGACACATTTTATTTTGTCCTTGTGAGAGAAGTCTTAGATTGGAAACATTTTTTGGCAACCGAAACTGGGCCGGCTGGATCGGCTAAGGGAAAGACCGAGCACCCAGCGTCCTTCGGGATGTGGAAGTCGTTTTGCAACTCTCTCTAGGCTGGCAGAGGCAGTGAGTGGGAAGGGGGCTTAACATGAAATGCCTAAGCCCTGATCCGCAAAGGTGCCGACTGTCTAGTTCCTCGTGTCGCGCTAAACCGCAGGTTGCACCCGCCCCCTATCTCCTACCTCCACGCTGCAGATCCACTGCGCTCCTGCGACAGATGATCAAGTTATTGTCAACTAGGTGGCCACCCTGGCGCTGGGAGAGGGTTCCCCCGCATGTCCTCACTGTTCTGGACGGAAGGGGCATGCGGGACGGTTGCCGGAACCTTCTCGGAGATCCCAGGGTCCTGGGTCCCGCGGGAATCCCTTCTGTCCCCTTCAGAGCGCAGCCTTTCCACCCGGTGCCCGCCGTCGAGGCAGCGGCGGCGGTGACTCGGGCTGGCCAGGGCCGAGGAGCGGCCGCGCTGCTCTGCCCGCGATGGCCGCAGGGGGGCAGGACAGAGAGACCGCGGACCCGGGCCGCCGCGGAGCCCGGGCGCGCGCCGAGTGCGGGACTCGCGCAGGTCGCGCGCGCGCTCGGGCCCTGCGCCCTGGGAGTGACGGCGCTCCGCCGCGACCGGCCCGGCCCTGGCAGACGCTAGGGAGTGAGGGGGCTGGGACGGCCGAGGGGTCCCGCCGCCCCGAGAGCCGCGGGACAGTCACCGCAGCCTCTGACGGGAAGGCCGCCCTGAGGAAGAAAGTGGCCAGCGTCGCTGTGCATTCCTGTCTACTCAGAGCCGAACCGCCTTCCTGGCATCTGATGACCCGATATGCCCCCCGCCTCCAGGCCCCGTTTTGCAGAAACAGGCCTGGAGGTGACATGAGTCTAAAGGACATAGTTCAGACCATAAATCAGTTCTGCTGATTCTGAGCTCTGTGGTCCAGAAAGTTTAAATTCAGGAGGCAGCTTTTCATATCTAATTGCATGGACACCATTTCTTCTTGTTTTCCCTGACTGTGGCCCCTCCCCGTCAGCTTTCTTCTTTTTTTAGTACAAACTTGTGCACATTTCCGTCATTCACACCAAGAATTTCAGGTCAGCCCAGTTCTCTTCCCTTCATCAATTTGTCTCCATTTCCCTTCATCAAATCATCTCCATTTCTCTTTTTCTTCCTGCTTCCAAATGTATTCCTGACATGTTCGAGCCAGCACCAGCCAAAAGTACTAGTCCAGAGAGCTCCAACACAAATGGAAATGGCCCTGGAAAGGAAGGCAAGGGAACAGTAAGCCCATCAAAAATCAAATTGCATCTTTGTGGGTACTGAGTAGGCATTAAATTGTTCAATAAAATATTCTCGTCTTAAAATAAAAACTTTATCTTAAAATGACTTGCACTGGTTTGTTTCACCGATATTTATTTTGCAATGTCAGATACCTTTACAGACCGTGTAAACTTTTTATGTTCATTGAAAGTAGACCTGGATTTGAAAGGGTGGTGAAACACTGCAGTTGTGACATTAATGAACTGTCGAGTTAGAAATAATAAGCATGAAGAGGTGCTAGAAGGCTAAAGTGAAGGCCAGTGGGATTTACAAAGGTGTCCTAGAAACAGAATCTTTGTCTTCTTCCTTCCTCATCCTGTGAGTAAACAGTGTTCCTTGAGGAGAGACCTTGAGTCAGTCCACTGCCTTGGAGCTATGAACCCAGAGAGGAGCCTCCTGATTACAGCCTGGTCTTGTTCATCTTGGGTGAACACACAGCTGCTCAAACTGGGCAGAGACCAGTGATTGGAGGGTGGCAGCTTTACAGAGTAGAACTGCCTGGCTCTTTCTAGAAACTAGCCCAGGTCTCCCAAGGCAAGGCTCCGGGGCTGCTCCTTTCTTCTGCTAGGACTCTGGCACTTTCTAATTCTTCTGCATCTGCTTTTCTAGCTTGGCGCAGTGGCCCAGGCCCCTGATTTTTCCACTCTTTTTTCTGCTGACTTTTTTCCTGGCAGTTTGGCTGATTCATTAACATCTCCATCACAGTGTAGGCAGGAGAACGGGGAGCTTAGAACTCCAGGCAGTCTTACTCTTCTTAATGGTCCTCCTAGCACTGGGCTTGGTGGGAAAAGAGCCATGCTGTTGGCTAAAATGGGATTTTGGGATTATCTGCGGATTTAATCTGGACTTCTCACATCTACCATTTCCACAAATAATTAGAGATTACTAGATACATTTAGAAGTTGCATTAGCCTTAAAGAATTTGGAGAAAATCTAAATAGGCTTAAAAACCATCTTGGAGTCCAGAATGTTAAGCTCTGTTCTCCAGATAATTAACATTTTTAAGTACCACCCCGCTCCCCTGAGCTAAAATCTCTCCTAGGTAGCTTAATTTACTTAACACATTTTAAATTTGATGTATTTTGCAGGAAGGGTGAGCTGAATAGGAAAGCAGTGAGTGCAGCACAGCTGTGTTAAGAGAGAAGACTGGCAGCATTGGCAACTGGCAACTTCTCTGTTTTCCAAAGATGTATGCTGATCCCAGAAGTCTGAGAAGAGGTTTTATTATTAACATGTGCGAGAAACCAGCAGGTGGAGGGCAATTCCTAGGGCCATGCCCTCGCTGTGAGCATGAGTGCACGAACTCTCCTGGTGAACACACTGGCCAGAGCGAGTCCATCGGGATCCGTAGGTGACGCTTGCAGAGGGGGCAAGGCCCTTCCTCAGGCTCAGAGGGCTCCTTCCAGAGGGCTTGAGTGGAGGCAGCGGCATTCCTTTGATTATTCTCTTCCCAGTGGGAGTCCTACATTAGCACTGGCATGAAAACGGCATCCCCTTGCTGCAGGATGGTTGAGAATACGATAATCGAACGTGTGCCTGTGTAGTACCTGACACTTTTCAAGGCAATTTTATATGTTATCTTATTTTATCTTTGTAATAACTGTGAGGTAATAAAGACAAATATTATCATCTCCATTTCTTTCTGATGAGGAGACTGAGTCACAGTCAGAAAGCTAGTAAAAAAAAAAAATTTGCAAAGCATAATTAGAACCCAGGCCTTCTGACACCTCCCTCCACATACTTAAAGTTTTGTAAAAAACTTTGCTGTGATGATAGCTTCTCATTTGACTATATTACCATGCCTGCTATATGTTCTTTAAATGTCCACTACATTCAAGCATGCTAATTTCATACCAGTTAAAGTATTCAAATGACACTCATGAAAAAATTTTGTGTCCTCTTTAACACTGCCTCTCTTTTACAATACTATTATTGTAATACTTCCCACTAATTGTATTTCCTCTCCCTAATAATCAGTAAGGTGTTAATCTAGCCACGTTGGATCATTTCCTGAAGCCACTTGAAGTCACTTGTAAAATATCACCTGGTATTCACTTTATCCCATGGATTCTCTTCTCCATCACTAGAATTGCGTGCACACTGAGATAATCCTCAAAGACATGGGTCAAGATCACAAACTACTGAAAAATCTATGACACAAATAGAATGTTTAGTGTATATAACAACTATAAATTTTTATATCTATATTTTTTAGAAAGATCGATAAAAAATTATGATATAACCCACATGGAGATAGTCCAATTCATGCTCAAAAAAGCATTTCAGCTTTTTTCCATCAGTGCCATTCACAGTTTAGAAGACCGACTTTGCAGCCAACTCCCCAGAGTATTCCCTTAAACCTCTGCCAACCTAGGGAGAGAGGGAGTGAAGATATTACATAAATATCTCCATCAAGATCTTGGATAGAGTTGCACAATGGCCATATATGGTGAAAGGTTGATTTTCTCTTGTGACTATATTCTTGGGATATGTTAAAATGCATGTGTCTCCATTTCTGCTCCCAAGAAGCTGGTGCACAGATATTTAGTACTGGGGCGGTGGAAGCACTGCTGTCTACAGTTTACATGATGTCTAATAAGCCTCTAGAATGTGCTTAAAAGGCAGTGTTCAAAATGAGGCCCCTAACCCTCTTTGACATAATTGTCTTTCTTTGGAGTCACATCTTGAAGAAAAGCATGAGGATTTGGAAAGGGAATTAATTTTCTCAACTAGACTTACTATTTTCTCCCTACACTTCATAGTAATCCTTTAAACTCAAAAAATTCAGCTAATTATGGATTTCTACCTGAATAATGCTGCCATTTGAGTGGCTGCCTGTCACTGTTTCTGGTTTCTGACCCCCTGTCAGGCCGATTCTGCCTGATTTCACTCATGTGCTGCTGCTTTTTATAATCTGAACATTATTTCCACTCAGATGTCTTCAACCTTGCAGAGAACCTAAGAATTTGAAAAGAGGGGTGGGGAGGGGGGGCTCGTAACTGTTTTTTGGATAATGATCATTTTGAGTTATTCTAAATTTTTTGCTGCAAAAAGGATACTCTGAGAAAAACATTTGAAAAAATAAACAAAAGTCTTAGTTTAAAACTAAATACTCTAACTTACATTTTAAAAATAGAGCTTAGGCAGTCTTTCTGGTAATTATGATTTTCCCTTTTTTCTATGCTCAGTAAATTCTATTACAATATATTTTGAAATGTAGGACATTGAATCTAGGGCATTAAAGAAGTTAAAAGGCTTTGAGGGGATTTTAAAAGATCCAGCTTCCTAATATGTAAAATGCAACCAGGAAAGACTTCACGGTGTTTAATATGTTTTTCCCTATCTTCTAAACACAGTAATCTCTAACCACCACTTGATCACTAGAGATTTATATTCACAATAATTTATGTCAACTTATATCTGGGACTCTTTTTTCTTTTTTTACATTTGGCAGCCAACTTCTAGTGGAAACTAGAATGTTTCACATTAGTCAGCAGCCCTCTTAAATTATTTCGTGAAATAATTTACGGTGGATTACAAATTCTTATGTGGCATTTAAAGTTAATGATTAGGTAGAGAGATACATCAAAAATATGATTAGTCACATATGTACCTGACTTCCATAGTTTTAACTCTATGCATGTTTTATAAGAGTTGCTTTTTAAAAGGATATTTGGGGGCTTGTATATTTTATGTTTTTTAAATTTTTAAAGGAAAAGAAAAATAGATGTGCATGCTCTTATAAACACTCTTCTCTAATTAAACGTCCATAACATTATTTTCTACTTCACCATGGCCATTTATGGCATAGGTACTGGTGTGTGGTCTGAAACTACAAGAACTGACATTGTTAAAGATCTCTTGCATCATCACTTGAAGTCAAGTTTTACAAATACTACTTAACTATGAGATTTTCCATGAAAATTGTAATGTCTCTTTTTCACTGCAAAGAATCAGTAATGAAGTGATGTACACCAACAGAACAAGAAATGAAATGAAACCCAGAGTTCCTCCTGCTAATCTGTGAATGTGCGTTTATGAAAGTGTGTTAGTTGTTCAGTTGTGTCCAACTCTTTGTGACCCCATGACTGTAGCCCACCAGGCTCTTCTGTCTATGGGATTTCCCAAGCAAGAATACAGGAGTGGATTGCCATTCCCTTTTCCAGGGGATCTTCTTGACTCAGAGAATAAACTGACATACCCCAACAGAGCAAGAAACGAAATGAAACCCAGAGTTCCTCCTGCTAATCTGAGAATGAACTAGTTTCAACTCATTTTCATTCTCCTATATAGTTATAGTTAAGGCTTTTAGAAATTCCTTTGTTCAGTTTTTTTT